TTGCGGTTCCATAAATATATGTGTGCGAGTGTGTGGTGAGTGTCTGGTGTGTGTGTGTGTGTGTCTGTGTGTCTGTGTGTGTGTCTAAGTGTTGTTGTGAAAGAGTAAAATACAAAACGAGAGCGAGTGTGTGACTGCAAGCTGAGAGAAATATTTACCGCAGAAGAAAGAGAGGAATTTCCCGGGAAATGACGTCACTCCTTGTTGCCGCGGGTAGTGTCGAGAGAAAGACACGCAAGAAAATAACGTGACAGTTCATGCTCACAACGTGATGACGTTTAGTCCAACATAGGAAGTGCTGTGAATACCGGTGATCAGGATTATAATGTTTTTGTTCTTAGCGCTTTTTACTGTTTTTCTACAAACCTGTCAGTGCAAGGAAACAGCACTCTGTGACATGATGAATGCATGGTAAGTTAGAGTAACTCCTCCAGTTTTAAATGCAAAAAGAATTATTGCTTTATCTTATTTGGTTGCAAATCTACAGGCATTTAAAAATCAATATGCAAATGGGATCGTGGGCACTCCCGCCGGTTTTAAAGGGTTAATTGCACCTTAAAAATCTGGACAGAGGGTGAGGATCTCAGATCCAGGGGCAGGGAGTTCCAGAGCTTTGGGGCCATGGTTTGGAAGGCTTGGTCACCGCAGGTTTTTAGTCTCGATCGTGGCACGACCAGGAGCATCTGGTCAGAAGACCTAAGTGACCGGCTGGGGATGTAGGGTTTGAGGAGCTTGCAGATGTAAACGGGCTGTATTGTAGAGAGCTCTGTAAGTTAGGACCGGGATCTGAAATGAACAGGAAGCCAGAGCAGGGATGCTAGGATGGGGGTGATATGGCAGGACTTGTGTGACCGAGTGGGTAATCTGGCAGCGGCATTTTGGACAAGTTGTAGACGGTCCAGGGATGATTTACTGAGGCAGGTGAACAGTGAATTGCAATAATCAAGCTGGGATGAAATAAATGCATGGATAGCCATTTCCAGTTCTGAGTGTGAGATGATGGACCTCAGTTTTGCAAGGTTTTTGAGGTGGAAGAAGCATGAGTGGGACAGGGAATTGACATATTTGTCAAACAGTATGTTTTGGTCAAAAATGACTCCAAGGTTCCTTAGGTTAGATCTGATGTTTTGTGATAGTGACCCGATGTGGTCGATCACCTTCGAGACCATTGAGTTATCCGCAGTGATCAGAACCTCGGTCTTGTCTGCATTTAGTTGGAGGAAGTTGTTGGCCATCCAGTTCTTGATAGCAGACAGACATTCATGGAGTGAGTTGATTTCTTTAAAGTTATCCAGTTTAAATGACAGGTATAGTTGAATGTCATCTGCATAACAGTGATAGGAAACGCCTTTGAAATTACTAATGATATGGCCAAGGGGAAGCATGTACAGAGAGAACAGTAAAGGAGCCAGAACAGAACCCTGAGGCAGGCCACATGACAGGAGAGCAGGGTCAGACACAAAAGGGCCAACAGCTACTGAGAAAATTCTCTCACTGAGGTAGGAGGCGAAACCACTTCAAAGCACTCCCAGAGACACCCACCCACTTACTGAGCCTATCTAGCATGATATGGTGGTCTACAGTATCAAATGCTGCACTTAGGTCTAATAGCACCAGTACGGAGCATTTGCCTGCATCAGCAGCCATCATGATATCATTAGACACTCTGAGAAGGGCTGTTTCTGTTGAGTGCTGCTGCGGGAAGCCAGACTGGAAATTATCTAACATTATCTAACAACATGGATGGTCAGGAAGGAGGTAAGTTGGTTTGCTACTACTTTCTCAAGGATTTTAGATATAAACGGCAGTTTGGAGATGGGTCTGTAATTTTTGGGTATGGAGGGGTCTAGGCTTGGCTTTTTGAGCAATGGCTGCACAGTAGCCTGTTTTGAAAAATGAAGGAACACAGGCTGATTCCAGGGAGGTGTTAATGATGGAGACCAAGCTGGGGCCCACAGATCTAAAAACCTCTTTCAGCAAGGATGTTGGTAAGATGTCTAGTTGACTGGAGGAGGATTTCATGGCGCCTATTAGCTCAGTCAAATCCTGCAGAGAGACAGAGGAGAAACTGCTTAGAGAAACCTGCCTGGGTGGACAGGTTGGAGGGGAGGCATTGGAGGGGGTGATACTAGCCCTGACATCAGCAACCTTGTTCACAAAAAAAGGACAGAAAATGGTTACAATCCTGATTGGAGGAAACAGGGACTGAGGGGAGTGGAGGACTGATGATGTTGTTTATAGTCTGGAATAAGACTCTGGTGTTTCACCTGCTGGATGTGATCAGGTTTGCAAAATAAGCAGCCCTTGCATTCTTAATCAGCACATTGAGCTCTGTTAATAGATCTTTGAGATAGAGACGGTGGACCTGGAGTTTGGTGGATTTCCAAAGCTGTTCTATTTTTCGACATTTGCGTTTGTGGCTGCAGATCTGGTTATTTACACGAGTAAATATGGGGGCTATTTCATCTAAAATTGTGGAGCAGTGGGAGTTGAAAACATGAACTAGAGACTCTGCGTCAGCTTGAGGTGACGGAGCATGGGCTGTACTGCAGTCAAATGCGGCAGAAAATTTTTCTGCTGAGAGACTGTTAAGGATGGGTGAATTTTTTACTTGCTTCCCTGGAGTGACGTCAGCATCGAATGATATGTTGAATAAAACACTTTTTTGGTCAGTTACTGGCAAGTCTTCAATGCTAACATCCATGACATTTAACCCAAGACTGAAAACCAGAACTAGAGTGTTTCCCTTGATGTGTGTGGGGCCAGATATATGCTGGTTCAGGTTAAATGACTCTGTAATCCTTAAAAAGTTTGCAGCGAAGCTGTTAATGTTATCATTTATGTGTATATTAAAGTCACCAGCCAGGAGGATTCTTTCGTAATGAATGACGGATGATAAAAACTTGCTAAAATCAGACAGAAAAGCACCATTTATGCCTGGGGGGCAATAGATAACACAGCAGATAAGTAGTTGGAGCAACCAATTTTGGATGTCAGAGCTTGAAATGACGAAAAAGAACCAGTGCTCAACTTGCGGGTTGTAAAAAAGTCTCTGTGGACTATGGCTAGCCCCCATCCACGGCCCGAGGTCCGCGGGCACAGGAGAAGGAGCAGTTTGGAGGACAAAGTTCAATCATTATTTTCAATTTCAATTATTGTCTCTCTTGGATGTCATGCACTTTGAGCAATGAGTGGATTTTCAAGCGTTTAAAAATCTGTATTAATTTCGACTGGATTATGTGAACTGCATATATCCCAATCCTCACTCAGAGAAAAAAAAGCGCGTCACAGAGCATCGTTCCTGTGGGCTCTCGCAACACTAAACCCCTGCGCTTGCCTGAGAAGGACTAAATGCGCAAACCTGCTATTTTTAAATATCTCATCAAGAGAGACTCTCACTGAAGCCTGTTCTATTTTGTTCTGAAAATGTCGATGTGCAACCATGTTCTGTGGTCAATAAATGAGGTGCAGACTGATAAAGGAGGAAATACAGTGAGTGCTTGAAGGAGGAGTGAGTGACAATAAACCTGCCCACATTTAAAGGGATAGTGCACCCAAAAATGAAAATTCAGCCATTATCTACTCACCCTCATGCTGAGGAAGGCTCTGGTGAAGTTTTAGAGTCCTCACATGTCTTGCGGAGATCACCTAATGGCTGACGGCGCCCCAGACTAACGTCCAATAACACAAAATTGAAACCACAAAATATCTCCAACATGCTCATCTGTAGTGATCCAAGTGTCCTGAAGTCCCGACATAAAAAGTTGTTTAGAAAAACGTCATTTGAACTCTTTTTAGCCTCACTGTAGCCTGTAGCTCTGACTGCTTCTCTGTGTACCGCGCTCACCTGTGTGTGCTCAGGATGATCGGTGATGCACGGTCTCTGAAGAGCAGCAGTGTCGTCAGTACTGATGTCCAGATTCTCAAGTGCAGGCATTGCCAATTCCCAGTCTGAGCAGCAAAGACTTTACTCATCCGTTGGCATTGCTTTGCATTTGAAACAACTACACCACCAGGTTTCCAGTGCTTGACTCCGGTATTCTGCGGCTGGCTGAGGGTTAGGCTCATGAGCTGCAGCGGCTGCTTCATCCAGTAGCCTGAGTTCCGTGTCCGTATACTCGGGCTCAAACAAATACGGCTCAACAAAACTGTTCCTCCTCAATTTCAAAGTCTTCAGACATGTTGGACTGTCCTTTGCTAAAAGACCGTAGTGCAAATTATCTTTTAGCTACTGTGGTCACCGTTGTCTCCCCCTGTGGTGCACGTTTCACGTGATGTAAACACGGGTAATAAGCAAAGCTCATGCTTTCGCTGGTCTCGCGCAAGAGCACACACGTGAGCGCAGAGCACAGAGAAGCAGTCAGAGCTACAGGCTACAGTGAGGCTAAAAACAGAGTTCATATGACGTTTTTCGAAACAACTATTAATGTCGGGGCTTCAGGACACTTGGATCACTACGGATGAACATGTTGGAGATATTTTGTGGTTTCAGTTTTGTGTTCTTGGACGTTAGTCTGGGGCGCCGTCAGCCATTAGGTGTGCTAGTCGCTCCCCCTGGCGATCTTCGCAAGGGATGTGAGGACTCTAAAACTTCACCAGAGCCTTCCTCAGCATGAGGGTGAGTAGATAATGGCTGAATTTGTTTTTTTGGGTGCACTATCCCTTTAAGAGTGGTTTGTGAAATGCCAAACAGACGTAGGGTCTAGGTACCATGTCTGAAGGGTTACTTTTGGTTTCAAAAGTATTACACTGAAAGTGTTTGGTGGAAACAGGGCTCGTTATTCATTTATTGTGTAAAATAAGAAAAAGCATGTTGGCTGATTCTTCATTCTAAAGCCGATATTGGCTGATATCGATGACATGCAGATATTATCATGCATCCCTAATAATATCATTAATCCCATCCCTCAGCTGAAAAGTTCTGTGGTTTTCAAAGATGCCTTCATGTTTGCAGCCAAGTCCTTTCTTTTGCTAATTGGATGATTGTTTGTTGCTTTCAGGTTCATACATCAGATTTCCCTGGCAACTACCCTGGCTATGATGATGCATGGGATATGCAAAATTTTCAAAAGGTACATTTCCATTATGGAAGCCCTGAAAAGTGGCTGCTGGTAATAGCTGAAGTGTGTGGATCTGTCTGTAGAGGAAGATTTGCCTCTTACTTTTTTTTTTATTGAAAATGCCTCCCATGCACTTTAGGAAATTATGTATTTGCCTTTGTTTGAATGGCCTGATAGACTATTTTCTAAACGTCAAAGAACTCCACTTTGGGATGCAAAATTCTGGGCCAATACCGATGTTAAGAAATAACAAATTAGTCGATACCAATGTTTTTATATTGTTCTTTATTTTGTTTTTGGTGTTAGTTTTCTCCCTTCTGTGCCTTTTCTGTGCCTGTGAAAGGTTATATACCTTTCACATGAAAAACATAAAAAAACTGCTTTAGAAGCCCTTTTACTATATGTACACAACAGTTAGATCACAGAGCCCATTTGCCAAACGCTCTTTTTGTTCCTGTTGTACCTGCTCATTAATTTCAGTTTGTGGCTGTTGGCCTCCAGCCCTGGTCTTTAGCCTGTGAAAAACTGATGTGACACATCAGAAAAACATTGGCCACTGCCATTGGTCAACGTCGTCTTATTTGCCCTTAGGCTGACGGCGATAAAAGCGAATATTGGCTGAACATCAGCCGATATTTGCTTTTTGCATCCATAATTCCAATTTCTCTTATTTCCCTGCTTGCCCTGCTCTTGCCCTCTCCTTTCTGCTCCTCTGTCTATATATGGAGCAGCATTCCCCTCTGGGATTAATAAAGTATATAAAATTCACACCCTTTACTTTAGAGAAAGAGGTTATGTGGCCAGCCAAGTTGTTTGGAGAATGGTAGATGGTCTAACTATATTTATTCTTCAGTTAAGTTTAATGGAATTAAGAATCAGGTTGTAAAAGTGGCTAACTTATAACTTATAACTCATTTTTAGCATTATGCTGAATCAAAGAAAGAAAGAAAAAGTGGAGCCAAAAGAAATGCAGGGACACACTGCCCTGGCTTAATGAAGAATGTAGGAAACTTATGAAAGAAAGAGATCAAGTGTTGAAACGTCCCTTAAAACCAGGTCTTACGACAGACTGACAAAAATTTACTTCAATGAGAAACAAAGTGATGACGAATATAAGGCAAGCTAAAGCCAACTTCTTCATCAATACTATTGAAGAGGCAAGAGGGAATGGTAAAAAAAATCTAGCAAAACATCAACAAGCTGGTTGGCAGAAAACAGAATCACAACAATAAAGAATTAGAGCTGAAAATTAATTCTGAATTAGTCACAGATCCAAAAACCATAGCTACAGAATTAAACACCTTTTTTTCTAGACTCTGTTCATGAAATAACTCAACTTTTTAATTCACCCAACTACCCTCCTTGCTCCATAAATTATGCACAGCTGGTTTTCCTTTTAGAACAAATAACTGAAACAGAAGTAGCGAATGCCATCTGTGCATTAAAACATTTTAAGGCTATGGATATCTATGGCCTTGACACAATTTTTTTGAAAAGGCACAAGAGTCCCTTGTACAACCAATCACATATTTGACAATCTGTCCTTAAGACAATCCACTGTGCCATCAGCTTGGGAGGGGGGGATGATCCTAAAATGTATTTAGAGTGTCCATTCTCACTGAGGGCGAATATCTGCGTGAATTATTCTCGCGGAAAAATATAAAAGTTGATTTCATGGGTTCTTATGGAAGTTTGCACACCGGGGCGGAACTTTCGTGCGGTGAAAAAAGTTTCCGCCCAGACAGACCCCCCCCCCCCGCAGAATTCGCCGGTGGAACTACACAGCTGGGCCAATGAAATTAGGTGTGTTCGAGATGAGTCAAGCCTGCGCAGATTCGATCACCGGCGATCGGCGCACAATGCATGCCGGTTAGTTTTGTGTCCGACTTCATCCCGACTTGCTCTGACGTAAAAAAAAAAAAGTGGACAGCGATAAAACCGCGAGAGCAAGGTGGCCGCAGTTTTTAGAGCCAGGCGCTGCAGTTGCTCTCCACCGACTGCACCGCCTGGCTCTCACCTGATCTAACAGCTGATTGGTTTAGATGTCAACTCAACAAGATGATGTTTTAGATACAGAGTCTACTGTATATTAACACTGGACTTTTTAATTATTGAAGTATTTAGCAACACAGAGACTTGTGGTCAGTGGGATGTGAGGATTCTTAAAATAACATCAGATGTGAAGCCCTGACTGTATCTGACTGAGCCTTAAAGAAAGCTGTTGTCTTGTATTTTTTTTCCTCTGAAAGTATTAACCTTATAGTCAAGCACTGTTTATTTAGCCCTTGTAGTTGAGGGGACAGGTCAAACTGATATGATGCTGATTTACAGGAGAATTCATATCAAATGGAGGATAAACCATGAACATAAACTACAGATCACCTGTAAAGCATTTTAATAAATTAATCTATCATAATTAAAACAACTGGAGACTGAAAACAAACTGATATATGGGTCTGATCACTTTTTTAATGACTTCCTGTACGGACTGAAGGCTGCTGGAAACTGTCCGACTTCACCGCAGCTTTTTGTCACCGCCCCCCGCTGCGGCCGCCTGCTCTCGTCTACTTTCCAGGCGAGGCACAGTTCATCCCGAACGAGCCTAGTAACAGACTGGAATACTGAACTCACGCCAGTCAAACATAACTGAAGGCTGTGCGACATGTTGACAAGTACCACTGGTGTTTGCATTGTATTAGAAAATGCACTGGAGACAGTGAAAGCAACATGCAACAAGTGCCCGTGACAGGTGTGGGGCTAACGTTTGCTAATCAGAGAAGCACTGCGGGTACTCGTATAACGAGTTTGAGTTGCTTTGAAATGTGCATTCACTGTCTCCAGTGCATTTTCTAATTGCCTATACTGAATAAAAATATAAACACCAGTGCTAGGAGTTCTCTGTTATTCACGTGTAGAACTGGCAATGTAGTCATCATAAAGGGGCTGAAATACCTTGTCTACATTTTGGAGATACATACAGCCTTCAGTTGCATTTGACTGGCGTGTGTTGCTCGGTATTCCAGTCTGTTTATGATCGCAGCACCAGCACTACACGTGAATAACGGAGAGATGAGAGATGGAGAAACAGTCTGCTCTGCTGCACCTGTGTGTAGCCTCCCCTCTTTGAGCCAAACAAGATGCTGATGTCAGTGTTAAGGGCACGTTCAAGAACACCAATATTGTGCAACAGTTTAACACTGTTTTAAGGTTTCTCTTCTGGTCAGCACACATCGTGTAGCAGTAGTAGTGTATAAGACAGAATCAGTGCAAATATTAGCGGCAGTAACAACAGAGTAGTGAGTGAACATTAACCCTGTGCAAGTTTTAGCATCAGAACAATGGAGAACATATTGGCACAGTAACGAAATAGTGAACATAATTACTCTGCAATAGGTATTTATAAGTTTCCCAGTTCCCATTCCCAGTGATTACCAAAAACCCATTTAACTAATTTGGTAACTGCAACACAAGCATGCTCATGTAATGAGAGAGGGAGGGAGAGAGAGAAAGGGTGGGAGGGAGAGAGGGGGAGAGAAAGAGGGTGGGAGGGAGAAAGGGGAGAGAAAGAGGGTGGGAGGGAGAGAGGGTGGGAGGGAGAGGGTGGGTTATTTTTTTTAACCAAGTTTATACAGTAATTTCTGTAAATGTTTTCTCAATGATGCTGCTGTTAATAAGTGCGCTAAAACACTAAGTGTTTTTTTTAGTCAATTACAAGAACATTCAATAAATGTTAAAGAAGCAACAGACAGCATTTTTGCCTATATATATCATTATCAAAATAATGTGGGTTGCACAGGGTAGTATACACAGTAAAATCAGACTATCAGCGTTTACATAGGTTACTTAGTGACTTTGCAATAAGCTTCTGCCACCGGGGACGAATTTTCGCGGAAAAAAATCTGCTTTACGGCAGGAAATGCGTCATGTATTGCCAAACTGGTCGGTCAGCCAATCAGGGACTGGAGCTGGTCCTTAGGAGGAACTGGCCGGGGCATGAGATAGTTGAATGAGGAGCACAATGGCAATCGGACAAAGTTTGGAGATAAGTGAAAAACGGCCTCCCAAAAGAAAACGAGCCCCTCTGTCTGAGGAGGCGAGGATGCACAAAAAGGAGAGTGATAAAAGAAGAGGAAGAACAAGAGTAAACCTCAGTCAGGCGTTCAAGAGATGGAAGGAGCTCCATGACCAAAGAGGCTTCAACACCGGTGACCAGCTAGCTTTCTTCCTAATGGATCAGTAAGTAACACGGCTAAATGTTAGCTAGCCGAGAGAGGACTGTACTGTACTGGCTGCTAGTTCATTCCTAGCTGGCCAGCATCGCAAATCGCCGCAACCAGGGACCAGGTAGGGAGTGTTGGTCGGCTAACATCCTCGTTGCCATTCTACGGCAGCCCTCGGACAGTGATTACCCCCCCGGCACCCTGCCAACGCCACCGCCGCTACTGGGCACCCAGCATCTCCGACCGGGAGAAGTGGAGTAAAATCCTCTCCTCCGCTCCCGTTTGTCTGGTGAACACCTCTCCTCTGTCATTACACTCTGCCAGCAATTTAATAATATTGATGCCAGTTGTAACATTTGAATGTTTTAGTAGTGTGTGTGTGAGAATGTATAGTGAGCCGATGACTGTTGAAAAATAACTCAGCTGCGCGTCGGGGTTACGTTCCCCTGTCGGGAGTTATTTTTCAAAATATACAGGCTCACTATACATTATCCCTTACGTGTCTACTGTTGTTTGAACTGATACTGTACATATTGGTATCATTTACTGTGAGCTGTTTGTACTAGTACTGTGCATTCTGCTATAATTATTTGCATTACTATTTGTTTTTTCTTCAGATAAATCTGATAATTGTTGCTCAGTCTCTTTACTCATTTATTTAGTATAGTGTCTACACACCTTCTCATTCTACATATACATAGAGGTATACTGGTGGCTTTACAGCCTACATTTTGATTATCTCTGATCCTCACGGTCAATTTGGTCTTTGCGACAGTGCGAGCAACACCGCTG